CCGCCGCTGCCCGCTCTGGCCGCCTCTCGCCTCTGCTGCCCGTGCCGCTGCCGCTCTGGCCGCCACTGGCCGGGCGAGCGAGCAGCCTGCGGGGGCAGGACGCTGCGGCGGCGGCGGCTGCGGCTCCAGCGCCGCTCGGCGGCGGCCAACAGCGACACCCGGAGGCGCCGCCGCAGCACTGCAGCCGCCTTTGGGCCGCACATTTGTACTACTTTGATGCTGGGAGTTTTTAGGTTAAAGTTTTTAGGGAAAAGTCAGCCTATCTATGGTCAGCATCATCAGCTGAATTCTTTTCAACCATTTCTGAGAATTTATACACAAACCCAAAACCTCTATAAAACCTTATCGAGGTTTTATAGCACCTCATCTGTGCTGTCCTTTTCAGTATTTTTACCAAAACTTTGCTTTAAGAATTGATCCCCAGAGCACCTGAAGGATCCCTGAGGTCTCAAGATGCAAGTTAAGCAAGCTGCACTAATTTGAGAGAGCTACTAGGTCTCTGTCAACTGGACTGAAGTCATTTACTAAGCTTCAGATCTTCTTTTTATCAGAACAACAAAATCCTTGACACCTACTAAACCAAAGAAGACAAATCAAATACTTCCCAATGTCCCACGTGTGGTTGGTTATTCACCACTGTGACACATCCAGCCATGTGCAGTGTAGGAAATCACACAGGGAGGTATGTGGTCATGTAGTCCTCACAGACACAGGAATAATGCCCAGGAAGGTAAGACTGGCCAGCAGCACTGTACACTGTGTACAGTGTTCCAGAGCTTGCCAGAGGGGGACCAGAGGGAACTGCTGCTCTGAAATAATGCTCCTTGATCTTGTTTAATGCTTGTCACCCACTTGGAGTCAGGAATGGGTAGGGCTGTGTGCAAGCGCTCTCCACAAGGTCCTTCTTGCAAAGCAGAAGCTCAGATCTCTCACTCATTTCTGGTTATTAATAAAGAAATCCAAAAGCTGTGACTGAGCCCTCTGAGAGGATTCCTGGAATGTACAGGTGCTTTGCCAAATCTCTGCCTTGAAAAATAACTTCCCAAAGCACATAGAAGTCAGAAAGGTCTGAATGCACAAGGAGGGGCACTAAAGTTTTTCTTTTGAACTATACAATAAGGAGGATCATTTCTCATCAGTTCCTGTGCATTTTACTACTTTGTAGCCTGATCATCTCTTATGATTATGAAACTGCAAGTGTAAATGCTTTATCAAAGGACTATATCTGAATACAAGGACTTAGGAAAGACTAGATTTTATCTTCTGTTTCATTTTCTTTGCACCTAACATTCTTTTTTTTCATCCTGTAGTTCTCAAGGGAATTCAGTATTTGCTGCAAAATACAGCTACAAATGCAAAAGAACAATCAGCATGTGGAAAACATGAATCATGACCTTCCAGGAAACAAATCCCAAAAGGAGATCAAGGATAGAAATTGTAATTACTACTTTGATGAAATTCTCCATCAGACAGGGATATAGAGGTGGAGAAAGGTGGTTTCACACAGGAAT